TCTGTCTCTCCTGCGAGCTCAAGCACCCTATGACAAAAGTTGTTCATTTTTCTTTTAAATACAAAAAATGTGAAGAGAACAAAAATAGCCTCCAATCATATTCAAGAACCAATTAACATTTTAAAATAAAATATATACACATCCTCCATTTTCTTCCTGACAGCTACAGTGGTCTGCCCTGAAGTACCGAGTGATGCCTTACAAAGTCCATCTCCTCCACACGCCTCATGATTAGAATGTGCTAGAACACAAGGAGAAAGAACCATTCTGGACTGAAATGAAATCAAAAGCCTCCTGTGTCAAGTACCAGAAACTTGAAAACTTTTAATGGCTCTCCTGCAGCATTTTCACTTAGTCTTTTTTAGAAGAGGGATGGGGGTAGGTGGGTAAAGGAAATCATCTAGTGGAGCTTTAAATAAGTGATTATAAAAGTACTTTGTAAAACCACAGAGATAGTTCAAGAATAAATGCAATCCAGAAATATAAACCAGGCAAAGAAAAATGAAAATCAATGAGATTGGAGTTCCACTTGTAAAAGGCCAAATGGCACAAGTCCTCAAGGCTCTCTACTGAAGTGACTCGGGGTAAGTGTCTCAAGAAATCTCAGGTGTCAGAGGTTTCCACGCGGCTTGGGAAGGGAGCCCTGGGAAAACATCACACCACTGAAATAAGAAAAAAAGCAAGTGGAGATGTTCACGGCCTGCCAGGGTGGGGGCTCCTGCTGGCGGAGGTCAGAGAAAGCCCAAGAGAGAGATTCCAAAAACGATGAGGCTAGAAGAAACTGGAAGAGAAAGCCCAGTCCAAACACTCTTTTAAGAAGGATGGAGCAAAGTCACTGAGAATTAAAAACCTAGTACCCTAACATGGTAAGAAATTTAAGGCCTGTCAAGGCAACTAAAAAACTTCTATCAGGCAACTGTATCAGGAAGAAGAGAACCGAGTCCTTCCTGTTTCATACTCTGCTGATTTAGGGACTTTTCCAAGACCAGTAGCTATGGACAAGACCCTGAACACGCTTTGTCGCTGGAAGAGAGGAAAACCCACAGGCTTCCCAGCTATGACTTGGCAACTCCTTAGCTCCCAGGGCATCAGTCAGGGCTCCAGGCCCCAGATAGGCACTTTCAGACAGGAGGAGATCGGGAGCGGATGGGGGAGCTGGTCAGGTAGGTGGTGTAGGGACTGTCCCCAAACACGTTGGCGTACGAGGACTTGAGGAACTGGACGTAGTTCTGCATACTGCGGTTGGTGCTCTCCGACTGCTCCAGGCGATCTTTCAGGTCTTGTAGCCGGCTCTGGTAGCGGCGGTCTGCCTAAGAGAAGCAGAACAGGAACCCAGTGTGTGAAGTGTCCAGAAATGCAAACCCTCTGAGACATAGGGACTTTATTTATTTTAATTTGATCAGAAAGGGACAGAGTGAGAGAGAGAAGGAAAGTGAGAAAACAAACCACCAGATACGGGATTTGAACCATGGTCAGCCATGTGGGAGTCCAGCACCCTTAACCACCATGCCACCTGCTGGCCCCCTGGGTGAGTTTTAAGTCACTGGGTCCAAGACTTGAACAACAGTCGACTATGTGGGAGTCCAGGAATGTAATTATGTCATTTGCTGGTCCCTATTTTTGAAAAAATTCTAAGCTGGAGCCAGCATGCAGTATGATGGTTAAGGTACTGGACTCCTACATGGCCCAACTGTGGATCAAGTCCCAGACATGGCAGTTTGCCTTTTCACTTTTCTTCTCTCTGGTCAAATGAAAAACAATAATAATAAATAAAATTAAATAAATAATTTTGGTATTTTAAAAAATAATCATTTAATTATTTACTTAAATTTGACCAGAGAGGGAGAGAGTGAGAAAGAGTAAGAGAGACAAAAACTGAGAAGGCAACCCATGAGGTCCAAGACTCGAACCGCGGTCAGCCATGTGGGAGTCCAGCACCCTTAACCACCATGCCACCTGCTGGCCCTAATTTTTGTATTTTTTTCTTAAAGAATTATTTTATTAACTTCATTTATTCATTTGTTTATTTTTAGTTTTTTTTGAGAGTTCTTTTTTTGCTATAGGGCGCATGCGCTCACCAGACAGAGACAGAGAGACAGGAAGCGAGAAATCACCCCCCAGGGGGGATGGCCACGCCACAATCCCTTCTCCTCCATTCTCCTCTCAGGATCTTGGGCATGCATGCACATGCACCCGGCGTGAGTTTAAGCCACGGGGTCCGGGACTCAAACCATGGTCGACTACATGGGAGTCCAGCGACATAGCCATTATGCCTACTGCTGGTCCCATTTAAAAATTTTTTTAAACTTTATTTATTTATTTATTTAAATTTGACCAGAGAGGAACAGAGTGAATGAGTGAGCAAGAGAGAGAGAAATCAAGCGCCAGGTCTGGGACTTGAACCATGGTCGACCATGGGGGAGTCCAATGCTCTTAACTACCATGCCACCTACCAGCCCACATTTGTTTATTTTAATTTCACCAGAGAGAGACAGAGTAAGAGAGAGAGAGAGAGGGAAAATGAGAAAGCAAGCAACCAGGTCCGGGACTTGAACCATGTCGGCCAGGTGGGAGTCCAGTGCTCTTAACAACCACACCATCTGCTGACCCCAAATAAATAATTTTTAAAAAAACTTTATTCATTTATTATTATTCTTCTATTTGAACAGGAGTAATAGCAAGAGAGAGAATGAGAAAGCAAGCTGCCAGGTCTGAGACTTGAACTGTGGTCAGCCATGTGGGAGTGTCCAGTGCCTTAACCATCACAATACCTGCTGTTCCCCCTAAATGATATCTTAATATAGTTTTTTTTTTTTAATAATTCTGGGTTTTTTAGGAATTATTTTATTTAACTTTATTTTTATTTATGTATATATTTTTTAATTTGATCAGAGAGGAACAGAGTGAGGGGGAGAGAGAGAGGAAGAGGGAAAGTGAGAAAGCAAGCTACCAGGTCCATAACTCAAACCGTGGTCAGCCATGGGGAGTCCAGCGCCCTTAACCACCACACCAACTGCCGGCCCCAATATAGTTGTTTTTTTTAAAAAAGGTTGGGACCAGCATATGACATAGTGTTTACGTTGCTGGATTCACACATGGTCGACCCTGGTTCGAGTCTTGAGCCTGGTGGCTTCAAACTCATGCTGGGTACATGTGTATGCATGCCCAAGAGCCTGAGATCCCAGGAGGAGACAGGATTGTGGCATGGCCATCCCGAGGGGGTATTTCTCATCTTCCCTCTCACTGTCTCTCTCTCTCTCTCATGAGTGCTCACGCCCTAAGACAAAAACCTCTAAAAACAAAAAAAAAAGGAGGGGAGACCAACAAATGGCATAATGGTTACATCACTGAACTTTCATACAATCAACCACAGTTTGAGTCTCAGACCCAGGGGCTTAAAACTCATGCTAGGTGCATGTGTGTATGTGCCCAAAATCCCAAGAAAACGGAGAAGAAGGGATTGTGGTGTGGCTACCCCACCCAGGGGGTGATTTCTCTCTGTCTCTCTGGTAAGCACACATACCTACAGCAAAAATCTTTTTTTTTTTTAATTTTATTTAGGGCTGGCTAGTGGCATGGTGGTTAAGGGCACTGGTTCTAGGACCAGCAGTTGGTATAATGGCTATGTTGTTGCTAGACTCCCATGTAGTCGACTGTGGTTCGAATCCCAGACCCGATGGCTTAAACTCACGCTGGGTACGTGTGCGTGCATGCCCAAGATCCCAAGAGGAGAATGGAGGAGAAGGGATTGCGGCATGGCCATCCCCCTGGGGGGTAATTTCTCGCTTTCTGTCTCTCTGTCTCTCTCTGTCTTTCCGGCGAGTGCACGCACCCTATAGCAAAAACCTCTCAAATAAATAAATAAATAAATAAATAAATAAATAAATAAACTTAAAAGGAGAAAAGGACCTAATTAGGATATCCTTAAGGGATAGGAAAACAAATAAAATCATATCATATTTATGAAAACAACACAGGGCCAGGCAGGTGGTTATTGGTTATGGCAGCAGGATCCCACATGACTGAATGCTCAATTCGAGTCCTGGACCCAGCAGCTTGAGAAAAACACTGAGTGTGTATGGGCACACAAGATGAAAATCCTGAGGAAAATGGAGGAGAAAGAATTGTGGCGTGGTCATTTCCCCTGGGGGGTACTTTCTCACTTTTTCTTTCTCCCTGTCTTTCTATAGCAAGTGCATGCACCCTGTAACAAACTAACAATAGAAAAGACAACATAACCCCTCACCCTGCAGGCCCCAAGGAAGCTAAACTCCCATTCTGCTCTCCTTTCTTCCAGCCCGTTGACCTCCAGCCCAACTCACATCGTCCCGGCTCCGCCGCAGCTGGCTGAGTTCCGTTTTGGTTCTGCTCAGCTGGGTCTCAAGGTCCAGGATTTTGTTCTGGGAGGCTCGCTCCTTGGAAAGGGCATGCTCCTTGGTTTGCTCCACCTGCATAAAAGGCACATGGTGGGGCTGGGTTACCTGACGGGGACCTGGCAAAGAGAACGCTGGGCTACTCCAGCTCTCTGGAGCCAGCAATGGGGATGATTTCTGCAACACACTTTACCTGCCCTCTCCCACACCCCAGAAGTCATCACTTACGATGTCGTAAACTTGAGTCCCAAGACGATGGTAAGTAATGAGCAGGCATCACATATAAAGTGCTGAGCCCCCTACCATAAATAATCACTTGGCCATGCCAATAAATTCCCAAGGCAAATAGTACTAACCACCTTTTTAGATGGGGAAATAGACTGAGAGGCTTGATGATTTGTCCAAGGTCACAGAGCTAGACAGTAATGGAATTGGGACTAACCTGCCTCCTGGCATCTTCAATGGCACTCTCCAACTGCCTCGCCAGGGACCCACATTCACGGGTTTTCTCCTCCAGTCGCAGCTGGGACTGGTGGATTGCCTCCTCCCTCTTGGCAATCACCTGTAGGAACTCGATATTCTGGGCGCTGGTCGCCTCCAGTTTCCTAGGTGGAAGCACTCAATCAGATCTGGCACATAACCCCACCTGTCACGTTCTACCCCGCCAGGGGGCTGTCGGTCACCCCTGGTCTGGGGATCTCCTGGTGCCAAGAATCTCCAAGGAGGCACAGGAATTAACCAAAGAACTCTGCAGAACAGCAAGGCGGCCCGGGAACTGCGCGACTGGAGCTGCTGGTACGAGGCAGTGGCGAGAGTGCACAAAGCAAGGAGGCTACCGTGGGTTGTGCTGCATGTGTCTCTCTCCAGGGAGCACAGCGGCCTGTAGGAAGGTGGTGCCACCGTTATCCACCACTAGGTAATGAAGAAACTCAGCCTCAGAAGACAAGGTTGCTGGCCTGGGTCAGTCACCCAAACCCACGCCCTCACCTTGTGCTGCTCACTGCCGCCTCCCTCACCAAAGGGCCTTCGACTGGACCACTCAGTATCTTATGTGATCGGCCATGGGGCAGCGATGCCAATAGACACACACTGTTCCCAGAGGAGTTCCAGAATGCCTTCCAATTTAAGGAGCTCTGTAAGTCTGCTGAATCTAGCTGCTTGTTCGAAGCCAGCAGAGTAGGGCAAACAAGAAGCCCAGGAGGAGGCTATCTGGTTCCAACCACCCTGCAGGCTGAATTAGCCCTCCGGAGTACTGAAGTCCTCCTGGGACTTCAGCCCTTCGCCTCAGAAACTACGACTGGGGTCAGGTCCAGATGGCTTTAGCCCCCTTCTCACATGCTCACACAAGCTCTGGAGGAAGATAGGAACAGGTCTAAGTCACAACTTGGCCAGGCACCAGCTATGTGACCTTGAGTGAGTCATGTCACTCTCCCTGAGCTTAGTGTCATCTTACTTAAAACTGGGATACTGGGACCAGCAGTTAGCGTAATGGCTATGTCACTGGACTCCCATGTAGTCGACCGTGGTTCGAGTCCTAGAACTGGCGGCTTAAACTCATGCTGGGCGCGTGTGCATGCGTGCCCAAGGTCCCAAGGGGAGAATGGAGGGGAAGGGATTGTGGCATGGCCATCCCCCTGGGGGGTGATTTCTCACTTTCTATCTCTGTCTCTCTCTGTCTTTCTGGCGAGCACATGTGCCCTATAGCAAAACCTCAAAAAAAAACAAACAAACAAACAAAAAAAAAAACTGGGATACTACCACCTAATTAATGGGATCTACTCATCTATACTGAGCATTTCTCTATCCTAGGTAAAGCTCTAAGCTCTTTACAAGGGTTATCTCAGAGACTCACAAGAGCCCCAGGGCCTAGAGTGTCATCCCAGACTTGGTCTTTTTCTCAAGATGAGGAAACTGAGGCCTATAGGAGTCACGTGATTTGTTCAAGATCACAGTGCAGGGCTGGACAGGACATGGGTAAAATGGGACACTGAGAAGCTGACCCATGTGGGAAGGTTCAGGATTCATGACCAGAGACTTCCCTGTGTACAGCAAGCATGTCTGTGCCCACGATCCAGGGCTGGCTAAGGCTGGGGTGGATTATACAATCAAGACCTGTGGGGTGGGGCTGTGTATCTCTCTCCATTTCTCTTATTCATGGAAGAGATAAACTTTAAAAAAAGAAAAGTTAAAAAAGAAAAAAATCATAGTGCAGGTTAAGTGGCAGAGCTGGGACCAAAGCTTCTGCAGAGAAGGCCAGGGCTTCTAATTCTAATGATATACTCATCACCTCTGACTGCCTCCAACAGCCCATAAGTACCAGGAAACGGACAGGAAGGATGATCAGGAATGAAGGGCAGAAGGGGGAAAGGCTCCCTACCAGGGGGCGCTGGCAGCCCCATTCAGACTGGACCCTGCTGGTTTGCTCAGATCCAGTGTGCTTTGTGACAGGTGGTGTCTACAAGCTGTCTCATCCAGATCACATGCTATGAGCATCTCCCCCAGGCTGCAAGACCAGCTTCCTCTCTCCCATAATGCTTACCACTGAAATGGAAGCAGCTTTTCCTTGGAGGTCTGACTATTCCCTTCCAGGGCCCTGAGTCCCTCAAACACTTCCAGACACTAAGCACGGAGCAGCTAAGCAGCAGAAAGTCTCAGGTCCTAGGAAGAGGACAGACATGGGACCGAGTGCCTCTAACCTCTCCAGTTCATCGACCTTCAGACTCAGCTGTTTATTTTCCTTCTGGGAAGCCTGCTGTTTCTCTCTCGCCATCTCCAGCTTGTCCCCCTGATGTTCGATCTAAAATGACAGGAACACAGGCTGGTTTATAAAAGAACTTCCCGGAATAGCCCTCCCTTTTCCCTGTGACCTGTCATCCACACCCAGGAAAGAGGCACGCTGCTCTCAGCAGGCGTCCAAGGCTCAATGCACAACCTGGAGGAGAGAGGAGAGCAGGGATAGGTCAGGCCTGACTCCAGAGACAAGGCTTTCCCACCCTCGGGGAAGCCAGGCTCAATGCAATAGAACCATGACGACACTTTCTTGAGCAGGAGAGGCCACCCCGAGGCCCGGTGGATCTGGGGCAGACATGAGAAGGCAGAAGCAGACGGCAAGCCTAACTGGCTTATGCGACAGACCATGAAGCTTTATCAGTTGATACCACCGATGCCCACTTCACTGGGGACAAGTACAGGCAAGACGATGGGAACTCTATCAATTCTCCCATGAGTGCAAGTTTGAGAATTTACCCAGAGGGCTGCTTTGCACGGAAGCCTCGGTATCAGGGGCTGGATGGGCTTCAGAGTGTTCAGGTTCAATAGAGAAGGTGGGAGATTTAAGAGTACTGAGAACATGGGCTTGGGAACCAGCTAATCCACAGGCTTGGAACTCAGCTGGCTCTAAATACTAGCTCTGCGACATTAGGAAATTACTCCCCCCCACTGTGCCTTGGGCTGCTTTCTGTATAGTGGGGAAAATAATCAATACACCTCACAAAGTTCCTGGGGGATTAAATGAGGGAATGCTGGAGCCCAGAGTAGGTGTTCGAAACACGGCAGCTCCTTGTATTATTATCGCAGGAAGCAGGTCAAGAGATGGTGAGCACCTTGCCCATGGTCACACTGCAAAGGGGTAGCACGTAATGCAGGTGGCAGGCGAGTTCCCAGCCACCCAGAGGCGGACTGCTTCTGGCAGAAAGGCCCTGCCTGCTGCTCTTTCAAGACAGACTCTCAGGCAGTGACCTGCTCAGGAAGGACAGACAGCTAAAGCCAGAGAAAGGTGGAAGAAAGGAAGCCCAGGGTGCGGCACCCGGAGTCTCAGGTCTGGGGAGGGCGGAGGATGGCAGCGGGGCGTCGGGGTGGAGGCAGGCAGAGGAAGGCAAAGGACTCCAAGCGCGTGGCGGCTCCTATGGCTACAATCACTGTGTGCACACACGAGGCATTTGGCACACCAGACTTTTATTTCACAGCACTGATGATAGCGCACTCCTTTCAGAAAGCGGCAGCCAAGAAAAAAGGAAGAGGTCCTCCCTTGGGGGGCGTGCAGCTCATCTCGGTAAGCGAGCCCCTGCTCGGGCCAGGTCGTGGGACCCTTTCTGCCAGTCCCTTACCCGGCTGCGCAGGTCTGAGATGATGGCCGTGAGGTCGATGTTCTTCCTCTCGTAGCCCTGCAGCTGGTCTTGGCACTCGGCCAGCTTCGCCTCTGTGATCTTGAGGATGTCAGGCAGCTGCTGCAGGTCAGCCAGCTGGGACTGGAACTGTCGACGTGCCTGGAGAGGGGGAGAAAGCCACTGCTGGGAAGGGCCCGGCTGCAGGCGGGGCCAGGCAGAGTCTCAGAGACTCAGGATTCCACAGTATGGCACGCCCTCCTCGCAGGCACCTGAGCAGGTGTCCAGCTGCTCTTGGAGGGGACACATTTGGGCCTGACTTGCCACTTTAGTCGTCAATTAAGAATGGTAATCACATAGTAAGTATTGGGGCCAGGAACTGTGCTAGGGCTGTCTGCAGTTGCTCTTTTAATTCAGATAACAATTATAAAGTAGGTACTGTTGTCCCCATGCAAGGACACTAAGGATCAAGGGAGTAAAGGCATTTGCCTGAGGCCACTCAGTAAAAAGTGAAAAGCCAGGACCTAAAAGTCTAACCCAACTCCCAAGCCCCTCAGAAGGCAATCTTGAAGCCAGAAGGAAAGGAAAGAGCCCTCTGGTCTCAGTCCATCCTTATACGTAACAAGGAGACTGGGGACAGTAAGGGCCCAAGGTTACGAAACAAATCAGTGGCAGGGTCCAGACTCAGCTCATCTCCAAGGCTGCCATTAAGATGATCCCTTATGTTTTGTTAGGCAAATCATCTCTAGAAAAATAAAGCTCTTTGGGAAAGGGATAGCAGATATAAATTTTAGTTGGCAAAAATAAAGACATTGGGGCCAGCAGGTGGTATGGAGGTTAAGGTGCTGGATCCCATATGGCTGACAGCACAGTTAAGAGTCCCAGACCCAGCAGTTTGAAAATCATGCTGGGCACATGTGAGTATGTGCCCAAAATCCCGAGAGGAAATAGAGGAGAAGAGATTGTGGCATGGCCATCACCCCTGGGGGGTGATTTCTCATTTCCCTCTCTGTCTCTCTCTGACTAGCACATGCCCTATAGCAAAACCAAAAACTAAAATAAAATGAAGACACTGCATGGAATAAAAAAGGCATGCCCAAGATCTAGCGTACCTGTGCATATGAGTCTATTTGGAAGTCCAAACAGCTTTTGTTCCTTTAAGGAAATTGAAGAAGATAAAGAAGAAAACCAGGAGGGAAAAGGAGAAAGCCCTTCATCTTTGTTCAAATCAGGTAGCCAACAAAGGGGACAGGCTCACAGTCACAGAATGTGACACTCTAATTGGGCAGGGGAAGGGAGTGAGGAGGGGGAGCAGTACCGCCTCAATCTCTTTGTTCATCTCATCTTTAAGGATCTTGTTCTCTTTGTCGCAGCGTTCTAGTTGGGCAGCCACCTCATCAGCCTCCAGCCTGGTCTTCATCACCTAGGGACCAATGGTGCAATGGACCATCTTGGGCAGAACTTAGTTCTCATGAAAACCACCTGCCATACCCAACCCTTCCCAGGAGAGGCCTGGGGGGAGGACCCCCAGTTTGACAGAGGAGGGATGGGTGCTGCACAGAAGGCCAGGACAACAAGAGGCCTACCTGACTCTTATAGTTGTCAATCATCCCCTCGTAGTTCTTCACCGACGCCTTTAGCTGCTGGACCTCAAGGTGTGCCTGATTGAGCTTGTCCTCCATCGGGGCAAAGCTGGCCTGGAAGAGATGGCCCGTGAGTGACCAACAGGAAAGCACCATCCAAAGGGAAGGCCCTTACTGAGTAAGTCACCTAATGTGACCAACTGAGGGAATAGCAACGCAAATAAACGACTTCTGTGGGGGTTTTTATGTCAAAAGCAAGACATAATCACTACAGAAAATGGAGAGAAGATCAGGATGCAATAGCTGTGCTCAATGCCCTGGAATATGGCTATATACTGATGACCGGGTAGCCTTTTATTAGGTTGTTGGGAAAGTTGAGATATATTTTTCTATGTCTTTCTATGTAAAAATGCGCCATGACTTTCTCAACAACCCAATATTTTTCCAAAAAGAATGAGATTATAGTGCTTTTCAATTGCTTTTTTTACCCCAAGCCACCACGTCGAGGACTTGACCTACACAGTCAGCCATGTGAGATGCAGTCATCATAACCTCTACACCATCATGCTAGCCTACAATCTGTAATGTGCTTTTTTTTTTTTTTTTTTTGAGAGGTTTTTGCTACAGAGTACATGTGCTTGCTAGAAGGACAGACAGAAAGCAAGAAATCACCCCCCAGGAGGGATGGCCACTCACAATCCCTTCTCTCTCCAGTCTCCTCTCGGGATCTTGGGCACACATGCACACGTGCCCAGCATGAGTTTAAGCCACCGGGTCTGGGACTCAAACTGCAGTCGACTACATGGGAGTCCAGCAACATAGCAATTATGCCAACTGCTGGTCCTGCAATATGCTGTTTAAATTAATACATTGTGAACTTTTTCAACAGTTAGTAAATGCTCTCTTATAGTCCAAATGTTCACTCACTTTAGATGGGATAGTATAACTCATACTATGGGATAGTATGAGTTTAAGCCACCAGGTCCGGCACCTCAATACAATGAAGTAAGTAGTCACTTAAAGGGGACCAGCAGTTGACATAATGGCTATGTCGCTGGATTCCCATATATCGACCATGGTTCAAGTCCCGGACCTGGTGGCTTAAACTCATGCTGGATGCATGTCTGTACATGCCCAAGATCCTGAGAGGAGAAGGTGTTACAGTGTGGCTGTCCCTCCTGGGGCATAATTTCTGATTTTCTGTCTCTCTGTCTCTTTCTGGTCAGCACGCCCTATAGCAAAACCCACATAGCTGACCATACAGTTCAAGTCCCAGTCTGGAGTCCTGAGAAACACACCAGGCACCTGTGCATGCACAAAATTCCAAAAAGAGGGAGAGATGGAAGAAAAGGGAAGGGACTGTGGCTTGATCATCCCCCAAAGGGGGTGCTTTCTCACTTTCTCTGTCTGTCTCTCTCAAGCCTCAAGCGAGTACATGTACCCTCTAAAACAAACCTAAAAATAAAAAGGATAATGGACAGATGAATGGATATATATATGCTCAAATATGTATGTCAGTAATCAGGGGCACTGGACTTCCACATGGCCAACCGCAGTTTGAGTCACAGACCTGGCAGCTTGCTTTCTCATTTTCTTTCTCTCTCCCCCTCTCTGGTCAAATTCAAATAAATAAATAAAGTTAAATAAAATAATTCTTGGGACCAGCAGTTAGTGTAATGGCTATGTCGCTAAACTCCCATGAAGTCGACCGCGGTTCGAGTCCTGGATCTGGTGGCTTTAACTCATGCCGGGCGCGTGTGCGTGCGTGTATACGTGCATGCCCAAGATCCCGAGAGGAGAATGGAGGAGAAGGGATTGCAGTGTGGCCATCCCCCCTGGGGGCAGGGATTTCTCACTTTTTTTTTTTTTTTTTGAAGAGGTTTTTGCTATAGGGTGCGTGCGCTCGCCAGAAAGAGAGAGACAGAGAGACAGAAAGCGAGAAATCACCCCCCAGGGGGGATGGTCACGCTGCAATCCCTTCTCCTCCATTCTCCTCTTGGGATCTTGGGCAGGCACGCATGCACATGCGCCCGGCATGAGTTTAAGCCGCCAGGTCTGGAACTTGAAACGCGGTCCACTACATGGGAGTCCAGGGACATAGCCATTACACTAACTGCTGGTCCCAGGGGATTTCTCACTTTTTGTCTCTCTGTCTCTCTCTGTCTTTCTGATGAGTGGATATGCCCTATAGCAAAAAACACTTCTCAAAAAAAAAAAAAAAAGAAAGAAAGAAAATAATGTCTACATTTTGAATGGCCATTCTACTATATGATGGACCATGCTATAATCAATTCCCTAATTTTTAGACTGGAAAGTTGTTCTTAGTTTATCCAATAATTGCACTATAATAAGACACTACTGCACTCCCATCAGAGTGGCTAAAATAAAAAAGACTGCTAATACCACGTGTTAGTACTGAGACATGAAGGTACTGTTTTTTTTTTTTTTTAATTTATTTGTTATTATTATTATTCTTTTTCAATTTGATCAGACAGAGTAAGAGAGAGAAGAGAGAAAGCAAGCCACCAGGTCTGGGACTCGAACTATAGTTGGCCATGAGGGATTCCAGCCCCTCTAACCACCATGCCACTTGCCAGTCCTGAGACATGGAGAAACAGTTAAACTCTAACATATCGCTGACTGGAGTACAAACTTACATAGCTATTACATCATCAGAAAAGTCATGACATATTTTTCTACATGTTTCTATGCAAAAATATGTCATGACTTTTCCAATAACCCAATACTTTATAACTTTACTCTTTGGTAACATCTACAATGCTGACCAGCGCATACCACCTGATGACCTGGTGATCCTACTTCAGGTTATCTCGTCAATCAAACGCACCAATACAAGCACCAAAAGATATGCCAAGAAATTCACAGCAGCACTATGGAGACGAGTCAAACAGCAGCCGACACAAGGGTGGATAAATACACTGTCGAGTGTCCATGTAACAGCACGCCCAACAGCACTGAGAATAAACTGCTACACAGGGCAGGGGCGACTCTGCAAACACGCTTGAAGACAAGCCAGGCTCAAGAGCACATCAGCTATACACACCGAGCTATAAACTCAAAACCAGGACGGGCTACGTGGCATGGCAGTACATCCCTGCCCAAGAGAAGCTGGATGTCTACCACAGGTTCTGGCCTGCACATGTCCAGCATGCGCACCCAGGATCCTGGCTGGCTGGCAAGGTTCGGACAGAGGTGTGAAGCTCTGTTGAGGGTGTTTGCTTCTCTTTCTGTATTGATCAAATTGAAAAATAATGTTTTCATGTTAGGTAAATTCTCTTTACAAGCCAAATGCTGTATAGTGATTGAATGCTTTTAAAAAAATGATAATAAAAAAATAAGAATCAGAAAAAAAATGAAAAGCTATTTGATGATGATGTGGATAGTAGTATCTTTGTCTTGACTGATATGCATGGTAATCATGCTGGAAAAAGAAATGTTATACATGTAAAGATATATGTGATTTAACAAAACTTTTTTTAATTTAAAAAAGAATTAGTTTAAGGATTCTAATGATTTCTATAAAACATGCTGAAAATGAAAAAAATGAGTTAAAATGATGCTTAAACTGGCAAATAATGACATAAAAAATAAAAATAAAAATTCAAAATTCAAAAACTGGAGTTGGCAGGTGGTATGGTAGGTTAAGGGTGCTGGACTCCCACATGGCTGACTACAATTCGAGTCCTGGACCTGGCGGCTTGCTTTCTCATTTTCCCTCTCACTCTCTCGCTCTCTTGCGCTGTCCCTCTCTGGTCAAATTATAATAAACAAACAAACAAACAAATAAAGTTACATAAATAATTATTTGAAAAAAAAAGTCCAGGGGCCGGCAGTTGGCGTGGTGTTTAGGAGCGCTGGACTCCCACATGGACAACTCTAGTTCGAGTCCCGGGCCTGGTGGCTTGCTTTCTCAACTTTCCCCCTCTCTCTCACTGTCCATTTTTAGTCAAATTTAAATTAATTATTTAAAAAGTCCAAAACCCACAGGGGCGAGCAGGTAGTGTGGTGGTTAAGGTGCTGGACTCCTGCATGGCTGACCATGGTTCGAATCCCTGACCTGCAGCTTGCTTTCTGTTTCCCTCTCTCTGTCTTTCTTTCTCTCTCTCTCTGGAAAGCACATGTGCCCTTTGGCAAATGAAAATAGTAACAATAATAATAAATAAAATTAAATAATTCTTTAACAAAAAGAAAAAGTTCAAAACCACAAACTCTATCTGTGATGACCGAAGTCAGGATAGCAGTTGGCTTTGCAGGCGTGCTGATAACCAAGAGTGGTCACTAGGATCCTGATAAGGTTTGATCAGAGTCACTATCTGTTAGCCTTCTTTAAAATCAATCTCCATAATGAAAAAACAAAATTAGTAAAAAAAAAATAACTAAACCTAGATGTCACTGCCCATGTCAATAAAAACCAAGCTCAAATGTGTGTGAAATGTCTGCCACTTGCCGCTGGCATGCTGGGAAGGTGTACAGCAGAGGTGACGAGCTAGGGCCCCAGAGCCAGCCTCAGGCTCAGACGCCGGCTCCAGCACTCTGGGGCAAAATCCAGCCTGAAACTTGACCTCTCTCTAAACCTCAGTTTGTTATTCTTATCTCAAATGGCAATAATCACCACATTACTGAAGATTTCAGTGAGAAGTAACATTTGTGAAGGAGCCCAGAGATCCCCAGGAAAGCCAATGTCACACACGATAGTGATGCCATGGCATATGCGCAGACCGAGTGTGGCAGGATAAGCATTTCACGAGCATCACATTTTCCCAAGGTCCTCACTTTCTCTTGCTAAAGAAAGAGTGGCCATGAAGGTGAAACGTCTCACCCAGGTCCTACAGCTAGGAAGAGGCAGAGTTAGGACTTGAACCCAGGCCTTTCTTACTCAAGAGCACTCCCACCTAATTGTGCTGCTGCCTAGGCCCCCGGAAGACCCTCTTCTCATCTCTGTGCTAACCAAGCCCACTCTGCCTGTCCTCTACTCAAGTGCCCAGTGCCCAGCACTCGCTGCCTACCTTCAGCCTCTCGTTCTCCAGCTTGAACGCGGAATACTCTGCAGTCTGACGGTGTAGTCTCTCCACTAGGCTGTCCCGGTCTTCCCGCATCTTCTCCTCCAAGGTTTGTTGCTGGTTTACAAGATCTGTCACCCGGCTGGAAGGATGCAAGTGAGAGCACACACACAGGATCAACTGCCCTGGTTCTAAGGAGCTTGGGGCTTCATGCAAAGTGGGGCCTCGTCCCTACCTGGACCACACCCCACTGTCTGCTCCCACTCTGTCCCGTCATGGCATTGCTGTGCTACATTTGAGTGCCAAATCCTTCACCCCTAGAGCATCCTCTGAGATTTGTCTCCTACCGCCCTTCTAGAAAGCTGCCTACAGTTTAATAGTAAGTAATGACTAGTTAGGGTGGGTGTCCTTTCTGATCCTCTCATGAGGCCAAGACACTCCCTGAAGACAAGGACAAAGACATGACCTCTTCCCAGCTTCCCATGGCATCTCCCTCATCTCTCAGCCCACTGGGTCATAAAGTTAGGACAGATTCCTCCTAATCCTTCCCTAGACTCCCAGGCTGGCAGCCAGGGTCACTGCCCAGGCACTCCCCTCGGGCAGGGCAGATAGCCACTGGGCTTTATCCCTTGCGGTAGAGGATAGGCCTCATGAGCAGCTGTGGGAAGAGGCGTGAGTGAGGAGAAAGATCCCCACCCCGGAAACTGCGACCAGCCTCTCCTCCTTCCTCTCCCTTCCTCACTCATAAGCAAGAGAGAAACAGAGAGATAGCACTCCCAACGGGGTCTCGATGTGGCGATCACCCAAGCTACAGTCAGTCCCAGATCATGGACGCAATGTGCCCCACTCAGAGGTACCCAGATGCAAACCAGGAACCTTTCCATGTGGGCCAGCCTTACCGAGTGCCAAGTTTGACCTCTGCACCACTGTCTGGCCCCTACATCTCTATCTTTTTTTTTTTGAGAGGTTTTTGCTATAGGGCGTGTGTGACGGGGCCATGCAGGCAACACAAGCTGGTAAGGATGCTGCCTCCCATTCTAAGGCAAGGCCTGGACTGGGAAGAAACTGAGGCAAGGCCCAGTTTACGAGCTCTCCCTTGTGTCCTTGAACTGGCCGGTATTTAATTTCTCTGCCGTGAGTTTTACTGTTATTACTGTAACGTGTAAGGGTAAAACATCACCCCCAACCATTGCAATAAAGCCAATTAGTGATCTTGTAGGAATGTTGTTCCCTAAGACTGACAGGAGGACCAGGAAGTTTAAGATCCCCCACCTGTCTGTTTTTAAGCCAAAATTAACATATAGATTAAGTTAGTATAAACCAAATTAGCATTAGAAGCATATGTAGACTAAGTTAGTTTAAGGTTAGTTTTACTTACATACCCCTTGTTAAAGCTACAGGCCAAAGTTAACTCACACTAGCAAAGTCAGCACATTCACCACATAACAGAGACTCAGAGATAAAACAAAAGAACTCACTAATTGACAAGACTCAACAAACAAAATGCAGGAACCCACAGATTTATTAGAGGAAAAAGCCTGGATGGGACAACAGAATAAACAAAGCTGAGGGCTCCACAGAAAGATTAACCATTTTAGCTGGGAGTTCTTATCTAAAGCAACAGGTAGCTTTCAACTACAAAGAGTTTCTCATCCATGTGCTGTTGACTATGAAAAACTGCTAATAAAACATCCTGTGTTGTCTCCTGAGCTACAAGATCATCTTCCTTTCCCATATAAGATCATAGACTCACCCTCTATTGTTGTAATGTATAGATAGTCCATATATTAACTGTGTCTTTACTTAGCAAGACAAGATTTCCATCTAGGTCGTTGTAACCAGCAACGTTATCGCCCTGGCCCGGGACTAAAGTTATCAAACATCCTGCAAGCCCCCTCTTCAAAAGACTCTTCCCAGTAATCAAGATCTAAGAAGAAGATACAGCAGACAAATGGACTTCCTCATCCTGAGAACTGTGATTGACTTTGCCTGAGCTAACAAGACAAACAGCATGTTTTATAATTATTGCTTCCATGCTTTGTATACCCTGTTCCTTAGAGTAAATCTTTTACTGCCCCTCACCCATTTACTTGCATGTATCACATTTTCAATAAAAAGGCACGATGATTCCTAGCAGTTGTCACTCCTCAGAGAGCGATCTCTGGGAGTGTCCGGCTAAGGATGTGCATGAAAAGCATCGAGGCCTTAGTCTTCCTTTCTTTCCAGCGCCGCCTCCGTCGAGATAACCCACCCATGCCGAGGCTGGACCCCGGCACGTGTGCGCTCACCAGACAGACAGAGACATAGAGACAGAAAATGAGAAATCACTCCCCCAGGGGGGATGGTCACACTGCAATCCCTTCTCCTCCATTCTCCTCTCGGGATCTTGGGCATGCACGCACACGCGCCCGGCGTGAATTCTAAGCCACCGGGTCCTGGACGCGAACCGCGGTCGACTACGTGGGAGTCCAGCGACATAGCCATTACACTAACTGCTGGTTCCCCCTATATGTCTACCTTGACCGTGGACCCACTATACCTTTGCACAGCATGTGCTCTAGGTATTAATCAATTACAGCTTACCATTCAGCAAAAACATCCTGAGCACTGACTAGGCCCAAACAAATACATCATGCAAACTCCTACTTACCCTTAAAAACCCAGTTCGAACTTCTCCTCAGAACATCTATTCCCTGACCCTTCTCAGCTGTCCTAGCATCCTTCTACCTTTACTATCCGTTTTCTCCCAGCAGACAGAGAACTCCCCAGATAACGACTGGCTCAGGGTCTGGCACACAGCAGATTCGCAAGGCATGTTTGTTAAGCTGGCTCCCTCTGTGACCCGTCCTTAGCCAGGACATCCATGTCTCTGGTCACCCGTCTCCTCTATTAGAGGACCAGGGCAGAGTGTGCCCTGGTCCTCTTACTGCTCTGACCCTCAAGGCCAGCAACAGCCTAATTTGTACATGACAGATGCTCAATAGATATTCAAATGAAACAATGGCCGACACTGAGCGGGATCAAGTGGTGACTGCTGACAGTTTACCAGCAGTTAGAAGGTTTGGGCCTGGGCACCTGCACTGTGAAGCCATGTTGGCCTTCTACTGCCATCCACACCACTGACTACTGGTGGTCCTGGCACAGCTAAATGCCATCCCTGAGCAGACAGAGAGAAGAAACAAGGATCACCAGCTGCACTGGTCCCCAAAGAAAAGTATAAGAATACCGGTATGCCCAATTCCCATGCTGTGTAGACTGGGGCCAGGCTCGGGCCCAGGGCTCCGTGGCCAGATAAGTCTGGGCCCTCTACATTGCCTGGCAGTGGGGTGGGACCCCACACAGGGGCAGAGCCAGCATCCTAGATCCAACCAAAAGCCTGGCTCAGGGGTGCCTGCATTTTGGCCCATGGCAGCCACATGGGTCTCATGACCGGCCTCAAGTCGCCAGGCTCCTTCCACCCACACACCCACGTGCCTCAGTCAGCCCATGCTCCCTCTCCGAACACAAGGACATACTCATTCAGGACGATAATTTCCAACTCAAGGTCCCCCTTGTCCTTCACAACTTGGTTGTAGCGGCTCCTCCATGATTCCAGAGTGGATAAAGCTTCAGCGACATAAAGATCCTGGGGACATGGGACAGTAGGGCCTGTCAGCCCAAGGCCTGAGGCCAAGGTCCCCCTAGGTGTTTCCTCCCCTGATCACCTAAACCTCACTCTGCCATTCACCCTTCTAGAGAGTGCCAGGACTGGCAGCAGGAACCCAGCTGTTGCTCTGAGATTTCTAGCAATCTTATGCATCCTGTTTGCAAATCCTTCCTTACCCATCATTTTCCCTACCTTATGGACACGGCTAAATTGTCCTCTGAACCCTCCAACATTCTCCAGCCATCCACTTCCAGCCCCCTTTTCCCAATTAACCCTCCCACTCCCTCCTGTCCTTGAAGCCATCTGTCCTACTAGCTCATTCACTGCCCCACATCCCTATCCCTCTCTATCCCCACCCATGGCTAACCGACCCGCCACCCGCAGCCCTCCTCGGGGCCCTGGGCTGCCACCTTGTCAGCAAGCTGCACGTGCAGCTGCTCGGCATATTCCTCGCTCTTCTCGGCTCGCTCCTTCTGGGCTCGGATGGCCTTCTTCAAGGTCTCTTTGTCTCGGTCTCCCTTCTGCTTCAGTTCCTTCAGCTGCTCCATGATGGCCTCCACTTCTGCCTTGTGCTGGTTCCCGCTGCGCTCCAGGTTCTGGGAGAGGCCAGGCAGAAAAGAGGCCACACAGGCAGGGGAGAAGGACAGGCAGGGGGAAAGGGGCAAGGGGGGGGAGTAAAAGGGACCAGTGGAAACAGGATGAGGGAGAGGGAAGATGGGTCACCAGCCGTGTGACCGCTTAGGCTCCTCTAATGCAGACTGGAGACATAGAAACTCCCAGCTGCCCACGGCACCTCCCAAGATCTCTCGGCCCCTCAGGCCTTGGTGTTAGGACAGGCTCCTTGGGAATCGTCTGAACTCCCAAGCTAGTGGTTAGAGACACATCTTGGCCCGTGACCTCAAAGGACTCCTAGACAGAGGACTTCCTCATGATACAGGGACATCTGAGACCCTCCCCTTCCTCAGGTACTTGGGTGAACTGGGGGCCAGTTAAGTGAGGGGTAAAGTGATGGGCCCAGGAACATGGCAGCAACCTATCGCTGCTGGGAAGGACACCACTGCTCCCCGGGCCAGGCCACTGCCTTGGATGGCCAGGGCCCCCCACCCAATTGTGGGGCCGGCAGCTACCTTGATCTGCATACACAGGCGACTGTTCTCAGCCTCTTTGCACCGCAGCTGTGCCTGCAAATGCCCACGCATGGACTCCATGGACTTAGACAGCTCAGACGCTGTCTTCGCTTGAGCCTTTAGAGGAGCAAGACAGTGAAGGGTCAGGACTTGAACTCAGCTCTTGGCAGACCCGCCACGCTCTCCGGCTCACAGAAAGGCGCGGTTGCTGAGGACAGTACCTTCTCACACTGAATCTCCTGGAGGAGCTCCTCCACCTCCTTGTCCTTATCTTGTAGTAGTAACAGCAGGCGCTGCAAGAGAGCAGACACCATCAGGTGTCCCCGCGAGCAAAGAAGCCCAGCCCAGGGAGCAAAGAGACTCGTGTGTGCCCAGGCCTAGGGCTCAGGGTCCCACATACACCAGCCCATGTCAGAGATCCTAGTGGAAGGCACCTAGCGGAAGCACTAAAACATATTTTTAAACAACGACGCCTATATTTTGCAATTTAAAGGGTAGCAATAGCCATGGAAAACACCAAAAAACACACAGAACTCTAAAGCATCTCCACATCCCCCTCCAGAGACAAGCACGATCAATACACATAACAGTCATCTGCATATTCTTCCATCATCTATACCCTTAGATTTATCATGTGATTCAATATTCTACATCTTTCAAATAGTAATATTTCAATTTACTTGTATATTGTAATTTAACAAGGTCTCTTAACTGAGAATTACATAGTTATTAGAATTATCAGAACATGGGACCAGCCGATGGCGTAGCCATTACATCGTTGGACTCCCAGATGGCCAACTATGGTTAGAGTCCTGGACGTAGTGTCTTGAAAATCACGCCAGGCGCATATGCATGAGTGCCCGGGATCCCGAGTGGAGAACAGAGGAAAAGGGCTTGTGGTACGGCCATCCCCCATGGGGGGGTGATCTCTCACTATCCCTCTACCTGTCTGTCGCTCTCTCTCTGGCGAGCACACACACCCTTAGTCAAAAACCTCTTAGGGGAAAAAAAAAAAAAAGAATTATCAGCACACATCAGGCTTTATCTCCCTCACTGCGGAATTCCCCTCCTTCCTCAGGTTGGCACTTTCCACAGTGACGGCATCAGGGATCAGGCATCAAGGCCCAGGCCCTCCATCTCCTTTCCCTCTCCAGGAGACTTACTATACATCAGAGGCTCCAAAAAATCTTGAAATCAAGAAGCCTACTGAACTTTCTGTTCAGACCAGCCAAGCCCACTTTTATTTGACCACTGAACACCAACCCCCTTCTCCATTCCCAGCACCCATTAGGGCCTCCGGGAACTCAAGAGTGCCCCACAGCAGCCTTTGGAGCATGCTGCTCTGGGACAGAGCAGAGAGGTTCGTTCTTCCTGATGGCTCTGAATCCATAATACAAAGGAGGAAACTGGATGGACCAGACCCGACGATCTGGAAACCCACTAGCACTGACGGCATCCTGCACGCATGCGTGCTAGTGTCCCGCTTCATGGCTGCAGCTCTCCAGGTGATCCTGGCAGAGCCTGGCAGAGCAGGCAGGACAGGAAACATTGGCCCAGCTTCCAGATTTTGAAACAAAGACTCAGAGACATGCTCCAGTCCTTCTGCCCCACCCAGTACCCACAGGCTTTGTCACCAGGCCCCCCTGCTGCTGTACCCTCTGCAGCAGGCAGGGACGCCGACGCCGTAGTTACCGCTTTCTCTGAGTCGGCCTCCGCCAGGCGTTTCAGCAGGGCTCCTTGTTGCTCCATTAGTCTTTCAGAATCCTTGGGGAAAGGCAAAGGGAAGCCCCGTGAGTAGGCCCAGAGGTCTACATACAAAATCCAGAAGGAACAAACGGATACATCCTCACCATAAAACAGTTACACCAAGAGTGAACCCTCTCACACCCACTTCCAACCCCACCACTGTTACTGGTGTTTAGTTTGTTCCCCTTTCTATTTTTTTTCTAATTATCTATTTAGTTTTTATAGTTATATTTAAGTTTGCTACAGGGCACATGTGCTCACCAGAGAGAGAGAGAAAGAGAGAGAGAAAGTGAGAAAGGAAACCACTAGGTCTGGGACTTGAACCATGGTTGGCCATGTGGGAGTTCAGTGCCTTAATCACTATGCCATCTGCTGGCTCCTCCCCCATTATGAGAGCAAGAAAGGATGAGAAACAGAGGCAGGGTTTTGTTTTTATTTTTGACAGGGTCTCACTACATCACAACCCTCCTTCCCCAGCCTTGCCATTAGCCAGAAAAACAGGTGCACATGAGCACCCTGGCATGCTCAGGTTGGCTGAAGAACTGAACTGGGTCTCCTGTGCAGCTTTCAGCCTCCCAAGCAATGGCTATCCCTGCATGTCGCCGTGCCGGGCCCCACTACTACTAGTTCGATGATTGTCCTTTCTGCTCTCTTTCTGTGCTTTTACATGTAGTTGCACCTAGAGAAATACTCTTGGGACCAGCAGTTAGCATAATGGCTATGTCACTGGACTCCCACATAGTCGACTATGGTTTGTGTCCCGGACCCGGTGGCTTAAAACTCACGCCAGGCACGTGTGCGTACGTGCCCAAGATCCCGCAAAGAGAATAGAGGAGAAGGAATTGAGGCGTGGCCATCCCCCCTGGGGGGTGATTTCTCACTTTCTGTCTCTATGTCTCTCTCTGTCTATCTGGCGAGCGCACGCGCCCTACAGTGAAAATCTCTCAAAAAAGAAAGAAAGAAAGAAAGAAGAAATACTCTTGGGGTCAGCTGGTGACATGTGGTTAAGGTGACTGGATCCCACATGGCCACCTGTGTGGTTCAAGTACTGGATCCAGAAACTTGAAAAACATACTGGGGGTACCAGCAGATGGCGTAATTACATCACTGGACTCCCACGTAGTCAATCATGGTTCAAGTCCTGGACCCAGCGGTTCAAAACTCACACCGGTGAGGGGCCAGCAGGTGGCATAGTGGTTAAGGTGCTGGACTCCCACATGGCCGACCACGGTTCAAGTCCTGGACCTGGTGACTTGCTTTCTCACTTTCCCTCTCTGTGTGTCTCTCTGGTCAAATTTAAAAAAGAATAATATTAAACAAAGTAAATAAAGAATTAAAAAAAAAAAAAAAAACTCACACCGGGTGAGATCAGCAGGTGGCATGGTAGTTAAGGGTACTGGACTCCCATATGGCTGATTGTAGTTCGAGTCTCGGACCTGGTGGCTTTTCTCCCTCTCCCTCTCTCCTCCCTCTCTGGTCAAATTAAAAATAAATAAATAGAAACCAGTAGGTGGTATCGTGGTTAAAGTGCTAGACATTCCCACATGGCTGACCATGGTTTGAGTCCTGGACCTGGGGGCTTGCTTTCTCACTTTCTCTTGCTCTCTGGTCAAATTAAAATAAATGAATAAATAAATAAATAAATAAATAATTCTTCTAATAAATAAAGTTAAATAAACTATGTTTTTTTTTTTTAAAGAATTATTTCTCTTTAAGTCTATTTATTTATTTATTTATTTTTAATTTGACCAGAGAGGGACAAAGTGAGCGAGAAAGAGAGGGAAAGTTAGGAAGCAGGCCACTAGGTCTGAGACTTGAACTGCAAACCACCATGCCTCCTGCTGGCCACCCAAGAAATAAATTATATTAAAAAAATAGGGGTTACCAGCAGTTGGTATAATGGCTATGTTGATGGACACTCTCCCATGTAGTTGCCTGTAGTTCGAGTCCCAGACCCGGTGGCTTAAACTCATGCTAGGTACATGTGCATGTGTGTCCAAGATCCCAAGAGGAGAATGGAGGAGAAGGGATGGCGGCATGGCCATCCCCCCTGGGGAGTAATTTCTCACTTTCTGTCTCTCTGTCTCTCTCTGTCTTTCTGGTGAGCGCACGCGCCCTATAGCAAAAACCTCTTAAAAAAAAAAAAAAAACACTGGGTATGTGTGTTTGTGTGCCAAAATACTAGGAGAATGGAGGAGAGGAGACTGAGACACGGCCATCCTCCTGAGGGTATTTCTCACCATCCCCTCTTTTCAATGAGCACACATGCCCTACTGAAACAGGAATTAGACCCAATGAGCATGTAAACAGAACAAGGACCCCCGAAGAAGAGTCACTATGAGAAGAAATGGACATATACATATATTAAGATAGAGCCGGCTTATAAAATAGAGTCACTCTGGTCAAGCTTTTGAGACAGGTCATTAGGGACCAGGAGATGGCATAATGGTTATGTTGCTGGACTCCATATAGTCAACCACAGTTCAAATCCCAGATCCGGCAGCTTAAAACTCATACTAGGCATGAGTGCATGTGCCCAAAAATCCCAAAAGGAGAATGGAGGAGAAGGGACTGCGGTGTGGCCTTCCCTTGGGGGGCTGATTTCTCACTTTCTGTCTGTCTCTCCAGCAAGCATGTGCACCATATAACAAAAATCTCTCAAAAAAAAAAAAAAAAAAAAAAGCAGAAGGGCCATTCACTATTCTTGCTAGAAATCAAGTATTAATTGGGACCAGCAGGTGACATAGTGGTTAAGGCACTGGACACTCCCACATGGCCAACCGGGATTTGAGTCCTGAATCTGGTGGCTTGCTTTCTCACTTCCTCTCTCTCACTCTCACCCTCTGTCCCTCTCTGGTCAAATTAAAAAAAAAAAAAAAATCAATGAATGAATAAATAAAAAATAAAATAAATAATTATTAAAAAAAAAAAAGAAATCAAGTATTAGCTCTGACTGCTTGCTCACACGGAGAGCTGCTTACAACCAGGTCTGTTTTATAGTTTGCTTGATCAATTGCAGCCTACCAGGAAACGCAACCAGACCCTCTTCGAACCCCCTTCCTCCTGCCTGGCTCTTGAGGCCGGCAGAGAAGGTTGTTACCTTTCTTTTTGCCATCCCAGATATACATATTAAAAATTTACCACCAGGGATGGCACAGTAAGTCAATGTCCTCATTACCCCTGGGGAAATAAACTAACTGGGCAGTGCTTCTAGATGTGGATACTCATTCCTTCAAAGACCACTCTGGGCACGCATGATGAGATAGTTACATTCCTCATCTGAGAGAAATGGGAAATCAGGTAAAGAAGCCAGATACTGTAATGGACCTCCCCCTGCTACATATTCATTACCAACCCCCAGGTTAAAAGTAGCACCTAACCTCATGCCCAGTGCAGCTGTCCTTCTCTGGCAGCTGCCCACCCACATACCTTTCTGGCATGGGAGGTGTATTTCCCTCCTATTAGAAATCTTTACTTTTCTATTAAAACTTCTCTTTTCGGGACCAGCAGTTAGCATAATGGCTATGTTGCTGGACTCCCATGTACTCGACCGCAGTTCGCATCCTGGACCCAGTGGCTTAAAGTCACACCGGGTGTGTGTGCGTGCCCAAGATCCCGAGAGGAGAATGGAGGAGAAGGGATTGCGGTGTGGCCATCCCCCCCGTGGGGTGATTTCTCGCTTTCTGTCTCTCTGTCTCTCTCTTTCTAGCGAGAACATGCGCCCTATAGCAAAAACCTCTCCCCCCCCAAAAAATGGCTTTTTCCCCCCTACTTTACCAGTGTCTGTGATTTTTCATTCTGCGAGACCTGGATCTAAAGAACAGAGGATTTCACAGGACACAGCTTAGCTGCACACTGCTTCTGAGCAGCACTAAGCTTGTCAATGAGCTGGCATTTCTCCTTAATATGATAGCTAGACTGCTTCTCTCTTCTCACATAAAGTCAGCTTCTCAGAGAATAAACAAGCCTAAATAAAAATAAGCCCAAAGCCCCTCTAACACAGATAAGAACTCCTCGTCTCAACTTGTCGTTGGCAACCCATTTTCTGGGATCCGCTCCCTGCCTGGGAGCTCTGATCTTCCTTCCCTCTCTTAATAAACTCTTCACTTTACTATTCCTTCTCTGTGTCTGCATCTCTAATTCTTTGTATGAAACAAAAAATTGAGTTGATTGCTGTTCCTGCATTGGATATTGGACCCACACGTCCCAACTTCCTGCATCATAATCTTCCCATACCACTACAACAAATTAATACAAAGTATTGTACATGTGAAACTCCCTAAGAGGTTCTAAGTGTTCTCAGCACAGACCGAAAAAAGGTAACTAAGGCCAGCGTGGTGGCGAAGGCGCTGGGCACTCCCACACGGCCGGCCACAGTTCAGGTCCCAGACCTGGTGGCTTGCTCTCTTACTTCCTCCTCTCTGTGTGTCTGTCTGTCTCTAGTCAAATGAAAATAAATGAATGAATAAATAAATGTAAATAAATAATTATTTTTAGAAAGATAACTACATGAGGTGATGAATATGTTAATTAGCTTAATTATGATAGTCATTTTATAATGTATATAGGTATCAAATCACCATGTTAAATGCCTTAAATATATACCATTTTATTTTGTCAATTATACCTCAATAGAGCTGAAAAAAATACAATTGTATAAGCATACAATTCAATGGTTTCTGGAAATGTCACATTACTGACTTCTAAAAAAAATTTAACTTTCATCTATTATTATTTTCCAATTTGACCAAAGAGAGACAGAGAGAGAGAGAGAGAGAGAGAGAGAGAGGGAGGGAGGGAAAGTAAAAAAAGAAGCTGCCAGGTCCGAGTCTTGAACCATGATTGGCCATGTGAGAGTTCAGCTCCTTTAACCACCATGCCACCTACCGGCCCCAATTACTGAATTTTATAAATCATTGTAACACTTATGTAACAGGGACCAGAAGGTGGTGTGATTAGAGCGCTGGACACTCGCACATGACCGACCATGGTTTGAGTCCTGGACCTACATGCTTACT